GACAGTGCTTATGGAAAGGTCGGCTTACAACTGAACCTAATGAAGACGATGCTCATGAGAAACGGAATGGTTCCTGATGCTCCTTTCACGCTGAACCGGACGGATATCTCTTAATGCCCTAGCAACGTGTGACTAGGTCGGGAAGTCAACATGACGAATGACCTAGCTCCAGGCTTGAGCAGATTGTAACGCATCGCGTGGGTAGCATTCAAGAATATCGAGGGGGTAGTGAACAAGACAAAGAATATCCGGCTCTGCGCTCATCTTTCCGACACTTGTCCTTCCTGCTTTGACGTACCCCTCGGAGGCTTAGACTCTACAAAAGCAGGATGAACATTCTGTCAGCGTTACTCAACGTGCTCTGGGAGAGACGATTATCGGACTTTCTTGTACACGCAAGTGCAGAGGAGAAGTCGGAGTCCAGAGCTACATCACCAGATGAAGATCAGGGATGCCGTTGATTCTGCAAAGTAATCAAAAATCAGTTGGGTTGGGCACGCTATGTGATATATTGGTGACCTTTGGACCAGGGCGAATACTGATTGAAACACTTGGGAAGTCAAGCGAACACCGAGACGGTCGTCTGCTACATGGACAGACTTCTTTACGAAACCCCTGAACGAAAGGAATGTTTTGCCCCGTGACCCCAAGCGAGTAAGATTCACTGGACTACTTTGGCTCGTGACAGGTGCAAATGGAAACATTACTAGCGTCTGCTCGGGGAGATCGATGATCATCGGGACGAAGGTGACATAGGCGAATATCAGTGTTAGCATCCTGCCTCCTGTGTTCCTACCAATATTGAACTCGCTAAGCCAACGGAAACAGGAGTTATGGGCTTCTGCTCAAACATTTGTTTCACGCAAATTCCGCTTCCGCTGCGGGCTATTTGTGTTATCTACCTGCCGCCTGTAGTGTTATCAAGTTTGCGCTCTAGTCCTCGAGGGCATGAGTTTTGCATTTCCCATTGGGCGCAAATTCTTGCTTGCGCCCCGCACCTTGTGGGCGGAGTCCAGTCCTCCGACCGATCATTTGTTTTACCATCCCGCTGCCTGTGCTCCTACCATATTTGAACGCTCTTGGTCTAATTTAACAACTTTTGCTAACGCCCCGCTCCCTGTGGGCGTAGTCTGGTCCCGCCACCCACAGTGAGCTTTTATTTCATTTAAGGTCCCTGCTACCAAGTTTTATAGCTCCATAATCATATGGGAAATTTTCGCTGTCTCCTCTTCCACGATTTTTAAGAGGGTTCCGAACAGAGCAATGATGGTGCCGCATTCGATGCTTGGCGAGGCTCACGAAAATGAAAATGAGAATCGATCTGCAGTTCCGATTTCAAGAGCAACAATTCCGAACGCAAAATTCCAGAGAAACATTGAGCGAGTTAATGTGTAGGAAAAATACGACACAATGCCTTAGTGCAGAACAGTTCGGCACGTAACATTGAGTAATGATGATGACGTTGTGATGACGTTCTTAGGACCATGACAACTCGGATGAAAACATTTTCAAAAATAATGTCTGACGCAGTAGGAGCACGCCGAAACTCGGCACGAAACACTGAATAAAAGAAATACAGCATAATCAGAGTAATAAAACTAGCACTCAATAACTGGTAATGTTTAACCCATCGCGCACCGCGTGCTGCACATGGTGAAGTACATGGCCTTTATGCCTCCGCGTGCCCGGTTTGGTCCAAAATCACTCTCTTGGTTGGGAATAAAGTTCGAACAGCTTATACTTTGCGACTCGATCATAAAACCGCTCTGTGTGGCCGCGTGCTGCACGTCGTGGGTCACGTCGCCGTGTCGACTATGAAGAGACGCACAGGCCAGCCAGCGCAAAAACACTACGGTACGCAATGGGTTAAGGCACGACTAGACCAACCGCTCTTTTCTCTTGATCTTATGTTAATAATCGGAATTATGGAGTTCTCAAAGGAGAGAAAGCAAATTTACATGAGCATTGCAAGTTTGGCTCATGGCTCTACCCGCTTTTTCAAAATACCGGAATATTCTTGATTAAGAACGTTGATTTTTAATTTTAGCTTTACTCATTAGTGCCTAGATAGTCCACATTGGGCAACAATATTAGTTCTACTTAAGTTGCTGAAGGGCTTGATGTTGTATATTTATACTTGAACAAAACTGAGCTTTCGCGCTCCTCTCGATATGTAATCCCGCGACTGAGCGAGGTACTGCACTACCACCTATCATCGTTGTTCACATACTGCCTCCTGTACTCCTACCAAATCTGAAGTCTCTAGGCTAAACTAGCAACTTGCGCGCAAATCCCACTTTCTGTGGGGTTGTGCGGAGTCCGGTCCTGCCACCTATGATGAGTGTTACCATCCTGCGCTCTTGTCAAGCTAGAACGCCCCAGAGCCAAACTGACAATTGTCGCGCAAACCCCACCCCTTGTGAGCGGATTCCGGTCCTGTAACCTACCATAATGTTTCCATCCTTCCGCCTGTACTCATTTCCGGTCGGACACACGCATACACATATACAGGGTGCATCATAAATATGGTAGCAAAATAACTTGGCTACAGAAACCGCAGTTCATACTGATACATTGTAAATTTATGTGAACTACTCACTATGCATCGCATCTTCGAAACGAACGCGCGGTCATCTTATATAACTGTCTCCTGTACTGATTATAGTCGCTTCGGCTACTCATCGACTGTGGCACGCACAGTTTATTGAGAAACTCTAGCCCGGACCTTTTCTAGTGATTTCTTAGGAGCAGAAACAGTGGTGCGTTTTGAAGCGCAGGCTTTTCTTTTCAGTATGGACTGTATCCAGCGACCCATCACATTGTAGTCCGGAAAATGCGTAGAAGGATTGGAAACTGTAACATGGTTGCGAAAACTCCCTCAGCACTAGTTCCAATCTTTTCACGTTCATGAGCAAGTGCGCCGTAGTTTTTGAATCGGTCCTCTGGAAAAATATTCGACCCTCAGCTGCATCCTTTCAGAAAACCCCACCTTAAGGAGGTTCGGAGTAAATTTTGTACTTTTCTCGACCAAAATTTGCGTTATCACTCTGACGGCAGTGATTCTTGCCCAAACTACCATGAAAGAGAAGAAGTGGCTTTGAGAGGCGATCTGACTCTTCTTAAAGGCACGGTTCACGATAAAAAAGGTTACTGAGTTCTTCATTTAGGAATACTCAGCGCCCGCCATGGGTAGTAGACGGGACCCTCTCGCTCCCCCAATCACGGCGCCTAGGGCATAGTGGAAGCCCTGTTGGTGCCGTAATTGGCTTTAACGCTCCTCGATCGATGTCACGTTAGACGAATGTCGAGACAATACAGATTGCAACTATTCGTTCTAGGACACACACACAATCAGCTGATCGCCGAGTGATGAGGCGATGTTTTTCTCCCATTCGTTTGTCCTCTGTTATTCTTTTTGCTGCTGCGATCCATTATTTAATTTCCTACCCCAACAATGTAAAAACGGTGGGTTATTTTCGCTGTTACTATGGTTTTTTTTGTTTACTTATGCTAAGTGAATGATTTTTTGCTTACCATAGTCTATTATTCGCACCAGGACCTACACGCACGCAGTGAGACACATTGTATAGCTCGTCCGAACGCCCCACTCTTCCTCATTTTTTTGGTTTCTTTCTCGTCCAGTCCCCTTTTTAACGGTTTTTCGGAGCTTTTTTCACTTTAGAAACGCCTATTCACGCAATTTCCTTATATTCATCGCACTATTTTCGATATAAGTTTAAGTAAGTTTCGAGTCAGATATAATGTGTCAAAGCGCGTGTAGCGGTAGCGCACGGCATTTAATTTTTCTCTTCTACATCTTCTCGTCGAAAGAGCTTATAAAGCTTTCGAATCCTATTTGGATACAATTGTATTTACTCGGGGTAGACTCTTCCCATCGGAGTAGAACATACAAACAAATCAGCAGTCATTTTTCTTGTGTTTCTGCTGGTTCCGGAGCATAATCCTTTCCAAGCAATTGTATTCGGAAAAGGGGTCGTATATAAGACAAGACGACCGTATTGAGGTTTGTTGTTGACCTGTCTACGCAACGGGATTCAAGAGACTGTCATGTGGGAAATGTTGAAACAAGAAACGAACCCGGAAAAGGAATCACCAAATGCGCGCAAAGAGGTACGGTGGGTGGATGTCTGCGAGGCTCCACCATTTCTCAAAATCTGACGAATTGAGAGTACCAAAGTAGATGTTTGGGCTAAGGTATATCATAAGCATAAGGAGGGGTGCAGACTTGGAGAAACCCTCCAAACAAGGAAATTACGGACGTCCGAAAAGTTGTTACTATATTTATGGCGCACCCTGTACATACACGTATTCACATACACATGCATATACATATACATATACATATACATATACAATACATATACATATACATATACATATACATATACATATACATATACCTATACATATACATACACATTCACATACAGACATTAGCGCGTTATATAGGGTAGAATTGTGCATAGCACAAGCTCAGATGGCTTAAATCTTTCTACGGATCGTTTCGCCGCGTTCTAGTTATGCATTACTTCTCAAGATCTCTGAAATATTGTCATTGACTCCATACTCTAGCGGAAAGTAAGAGAATTCTCGTTTTGAAACTGTTCAGAAACTAGCCGAATATGCCACAGAGTAGACCTCCTCACTTGTAAAACCTTAGAAAACCAGATCTTCTTATTTCAGCGACGTGCCATAGAATAATTTTCTCGTGCGATAAATGCCATAGGATATGCGATAATTGAAGCAGCCTATTACTAGCCCTTGATTCGAGCTATATAAGGCTTGGCATCGGGTGTTAATATTGAATTTGGATTTTGCTTGTCGATTTTTGCTTGTTTACCGTTCAGTTATGGTTCTGTTGTCTCTCTGAACACTGGCGTAGTACATAACGTTAGCAACACATATTGCAGGTGGAGGAGACAAACTTAGACGATGTACATCATCGATGCGGATCCGTTGTAGACTACCAACATCGGAGTATGCGTGATTTGAGCGACGAGAGTCAGGTCTTTACCCACGTTCGAAGCCGCAGCGCCGATTACCTCATGGATAAACGGTGTGAAATCCCTAGATTGTTATATGTTCGGATCATTTAACGGTTTTCTTCCGTTCTGTTTCAGTTCTCGCGAAGAAACTATCCCTCCGGAGAATCAGCTGCGGAAGTCTCTGAACGAATCAGCCCTTAAAACTTCACACGTTCCTTATGCTGAGATGCGTTCTCGTAAATCGACAGAAAAACTCACTGTTCCTGATTGGTATCGTGAAAATCGTGTCACAGCACGACCCACCGACGTGGACATTACACTTCCTCCCTCTGATCAATCTGAACAAGTCCCAGGTCATATTGAACAACATCACTCACGGCGCCAGTCCGACCCTTACAGCTCTATTTTCTGGTTCAAAAAGTCAGCACTTTTAAGCAGTCCTGAATTTCCCAAGGGAATGTTCGGGCGGTATAAGGATGAAATTGAAGATATGCGACATTCGCGATCTTTGCTTCATGAAAGCGCAGAGGAAAATCGTCAGGTGGTAACACTGTAAGAGTGCTTCATCTCTCTTCGTCGTTTTCTAAGTAACATGTTTACATTAGCTTGCTATCTTTTACTTTGTTTTCCTCCCATCGGATTACCTTACAAGTGAAATAGCTTACTCATTTGTGTCGTACAAAATCATAGAACATTGTTGCTTTACTTGATAACGATTTAATTCAGAACCCATGCACTCACTTTCCGTATTTTGACTTTTGTGCGTCCTTTTTTTCTCGGCTCTATATTTTTTAAAATTTATTCAGTGAAAAGCAAGTTCTTACTGTTCTCGGTCACTTGTAGAACCAAAAAAATGGCGATTATTCCTTCTTGAGCTTTGCACCTATTATGTAATAAATGAAGTGGTTCACTTCTGATCACTCCGTCACGCGAAGTGAAATCTCGTTCATACCGTTTCTGAGAGCTGAGTCTGACCTTACCTATGAATTGGAAACGCTGGGGACCATTACGCAGGTGATGTTGTAGTACGTTGATGTATGTTGATGTACGATATTGTAGTCTAGAAACTAGAGATAGCATTTACTCGAACTCATCTTTGCAGGGAAACGTGTTGGGTCTACTAGCCAGGGAAGGATCCCAAATCGAAGTGGTCGTTTGGGATGAGACATACACAGCTAGGACTTAAATTATATGAATATAGCAGGTTTTTCAGCTGTGGTTAGAGCAGTAGTAAGAGCGACGCTTCGACGCTTCATGTGCAGGAGACTAAAGTTGTGGGAGGAGGGGAGGGGGGTAGGCGAGAATTTTGCATTCTATTGAATTTCTTCCTTGTAGCCAATGAATCCCGTTGCGTTGGTTTTATCGCGTTCGACGACCTTTTAACGTTTGTGGTGACAACTTTCTTTGTCAAAACATGCAATATCGCTTCAATTTTTTGCATATTTGTACACGCTATATTCAAAGTGGGGCGAATGCGGTGTGGTGACAGGTCGCGAACCATCGCACACGAATGGGCCAGAGATCGAAGATCGATTATTTATTCATGCAAACCAAGCCCTGCGTTCCCCCGATTCGGCTAATTGGTGCCAGATCGTCTTGGTGGTTAAAAGCACTAATCTGTACATTAGCTTGTCACAGCGAATCATTGCATAAGCTATATACGCATTTTAAAGCTACTGGTGATGAAAAGCGAATACGGGGCTCATCCCAAAGGCCGAATCGATAAGCGCCACAGTCTTAATCCCTTCAATCCTTTATATCCACGATGGAATTCTGAGCAATATGTACGCTCTTTGTATACTCTGGCCTCAGGAGACTCGAATGAAGTAGATGAGGTAGTGCGACTGCTCTCTGCAACCATCCACTCTTTCACCATTATTCCAAGAATATTCTTTGATGGCCACTAAATCACGAGTCTTTTGTGGTTTTAGAGTGGGGCTTCATAAGTAGTAACTCCCGATCTCAACCTTATACACGCCTGAGTTCGCTCAGCTCCCACCACCTGCCTACTTTAAGTTCCGTGCTGTTAGATTAGGAGGACTCTTTTTCATTCAAGACACGTCGCCGGCTGCTTAAATACTCACCAAGGTCATTTTGATATGCCTTCACTATTCTGTTTCCCTTCTGATATGGTAAGTGAATGTAGAGGAACGCGAAGTTACGAATTTAATAGTATAATAGTTGCAATTGTGAGGAACGTTTTGCTCTCTATCATTTCGTGCAACACATATGTAAATGAAGTGATAAGAGTCATGCTACTATGAATATGGTGTGTACAAACATTCATAAAAATTGTAGCGTTTAACATGCTTTTTGTAAAAAAAAGTCGTTACCACAAACATCAAAAGGTCGTCGGACGCGGTAAAAATAACATCAAAGGAATTCACAGGCTACAAGGAAGGAATTCGATATGATGCAAAGTTCTTGCCC